CCGGACCGGAAGTAGATGCAACAGAGAAAGAGTGATGTAATTTGCCTTTGCATTGAAAAAATGGGAGAGAAGAATTTTTTGCTTTAAATAATTGGATAAATGGATATGTTTAAGTAAAGTGCAAGCAAAAAATAATTATGATGATTTGGTTGTGTGTTCTGTGGTTGAAGCTTTTTAGCAAATTATTATAAAAACATAATTTGTAATAAAAACCAAAAAAAATTTTGAAGATGTTAATAAACATGTAATGTGAGTGTGCCGAAAGTTATTTTAAAAAGCGAATGGCTAAAGACCAAAAAAGGCGAAAATCCAAAAAAGGCGAAAGACGAAAGGCGAAACTCGCAGACCCCCGATATGTAATGAAGATATTAAGTAACTTAAAATAATTATGTATTAATCGGATACGGTTTCATTAAAATTCAGAAAGCAGAAATTAAATCAGAAAAAATACATATATAGAAAGAAGAGTCTAAGAAGGGTCAAAAATCGAATCCTCTGAAATAAAATTTTCGAAAATGTTAAAAAACATACTCTGTTTACTATCAATATATTACTAACTAAATACAAAAATATTTAACAAATATGTAAGTAATTCTAAATAAATAAATTTTTCTGACGAATAAAATATAAAAAAAACAAAAAATGTGTAAAGGCCAATAAATACACGCTAAAGACTTGGCAAAATTATTTTATAAAAAGGCCGGAAACCATTTTCATATTTTGTTGGCAAGCAACGGAAATCATATGAGAAAAATGAGATTTTAAGAATAAAACAACAAAAATGTATAAAAATCCTTTAAATGGAGCTTTGAGCAATTAATATTTAAATATAATTGGTGTCAAATATTTTTTAAATAAAAAAATATTTTTTGATAAAATTGTTTAAGTTTTTTAAAATTAATTTTTTGATAGTTTAAGAAATAAATTTGGCAAAAACAATAAATTCATTAAAATGTAGGTATAAAACTAATATGTACCTATAATTGTATATTAAATATATTTACCTACTATATTTAAATAAATAATGAATAAAATAATAATTGAATAGAAAGAATAAAAAAATAAAATTAATTTAATCATAACTACATTAGATAGTATTTGGCCGTAAAAATGAAAGAAATGTTTACCTGCGCAAAGAATGAGAGTAAAGAATAAGCGTCAAATATCTGTTTAACTCAATTTTATTTTTCAAAAAAAATTTTCTTATAAAAACATTTAAATATATAAAAGGTTCTTAAGTAAAAAACTATTTTCCGGATTTAACACACATTCAAATCCTTTAAATAAATATTAATCTATTATTAACAAAAAAATACTATAATTAATAAAGAAAATTATTTTTAAATATTTAATGAAAAATAACAAAATTTATTCTAAAATTTCACAAAATAAATACTATTGTTATTTGAAATAAAAAAGGAATTAATGTCAAAATATACTAATTAAATCTTTGAAAAAAAAATATTTAAAAAATAAATATTTAATTTTATATTTATATAGTAAATATTACAGTTAAATTTTCAAAGATATTTTCTAAGAAAAAAAATACTAATCTTTTTTTACCGTCTTTTAATCCGCTTTATTTAAAAAATGAATGAAAATATAAATCAATGATAAGTAAATGGGACTGTAAAGAAGAATAGTATTATATAAAATTCAAGGATTAATAATAAAAAAATATTTTTTTATACATATTAGACATATGAGGTATATCTAAACGGAAAACAAACTGGAAAACTTTAGATAGAATATCTAAATTAATTTCCTCCGGCCACGGGGAAAATTTTCGGGAAGGCAGCGCCACGGGGGGGGGGGGGGGGGGGGGACGGGGGAAATTTTTTTACGGGGAAATTTCGGGGAATCAAAAAATTTTTTTGACGCCTTCGGCGCAAAAAATTTTCATTTTTTGCGCCGCAGGCGAAAGTTTTGCGAATTCTCTTAAATTCCCCGACTTTCGGCGACGGGGAACAACCCTATTATTTACAAATCCATCTTAATTTTGAATTCAAAAATGTTTTAAATAAATTTTTATAAAAATTAAATGCAAAAAAATTTTTATAAAATTAATTGCAAAGAATTATATTTATACTTAATTGCTATTTATTTTTATAACGTGCAAACTTTGCGAATTTTTAAAATATTTTATAATTAGTAATTAAAAATCTAAATTTGTATTTAAATTTATCAAATGATTCTTCTAAAAAATTGTTTTTATATGATTTAATAAAAACAGAATTTTTAGATAATAAATAAATTATAGTAGGTCTCTAAGATACTAATTTTAATTTTATATTTATTTAAAATAAATATAAATTTTTTAGAATTGATTAAAAAAAATTTTTTTGTCATATTAATAAATTATAAAAAATTAGAAAAAGTTTATTTAAACAGAAGCTTTATATAAAGATATAAAACACTCTGGAATGTAAAACATAAGTAATAAGAAGTTCTATACGTCGATTTAGTATTTATTTGGGAGGAAGCCTTTTATAAATTAAAAAAAATAAATAAGCACTTTAAATATAAAATTAGAAATCTTTTTTTTCTGTTAATTTTTTATATCTTTAAAAACAATTTATGTATTTACTTGTGTTTGGTTAAAAGCATCTTATTTATAAATAATAATAAATAAATAAATATTTATTTAGCTATATTTAGCTTCCACATTTTTTTCTCATTCACAACAAAATGACGCCATTTATAAGGGACTTGGTGGGGGGTTTTTAGTAAAAATATTTTTTTGGAAATAATATATATATTTATTTATTTTAGTATGTCGCGACATTCCCAAAATACCGGAATTCCAAATAAAAGGTATTTCTAATATAATTTAATGAATTTTTGGGAGAACAAATGGAATGCTGTGAAAAAAAAGAATGAAAAATAACTGATCCAATTTCAGTGATGAATAATTAAAAATTAAAATAAATAAAAAAATAATATTAAATTCCGGAAATTTTTTTGGCAAATGAAAAAACAAAAATGATGAAATTCTTGAATTTATATAAAAATAAAATTTTAGAGTATAGGATTTATTTAAATTAAAGTATTTATTATTAGAAAATAAAACGGAAATAGTTTCGAGGAAGTTAATTTTAGATAGAAAAATAATTTAAATATTTTTTTAATTTTATTTAAGATTTTAAATAAAAATTATAAGGTTGGAAAAAACATTTTATAAACTAAAAAAACCATTAAATTTGGAAAATTTATACCCCTTTAAAAAATAAAGCCAAAAATTATATTTTACATAAAAATATTTAAATTAAAATAATTTGGAATATTATTTTTAATAGGATTAAATATGTATGTAGTATTAAATAAATAATTAGTTAAAAAATATTCTAGAAATTATCTCTAATTATAAATTTGAATTTAATTATTAGCGCAAATATTTTAAAATAATTCATGTTAAAGCTTTTTTAAATAAAATTAATTAATAAGAAACTAAATAATTGTTGAGTGGAGGGAACATAAAACAAAATAAAAAATTTTAATAGAAACAAAGAATGTGTGTTTGTGTAACTTTAACTAAAAATATATTTAAACATATGTTTAAAACAAAAGAAAAATTATTTTCTAAAAATACTTTGAGCTAAAAAAATATGTTACCAGATACTTGAAGTTAAAATAAAAGTAAATAAATAAATGTTTGTTCTAATTTAAAGAATTACACGTTTTTATTTGTTTTTACTTGCAAAATCTTCAAAAAATCCAGAATATATTTAAATTAATTATTCTATAGGAAATGGCTAATATTTCAAAAGATGATGATGAAAAAAGACTTAAAATACAAAAATGGCCATCCTGTGCTAATTTACAACGTGCAGAAATTGTTTCGACTAAACCAGCAACTTTGGGAGTGGTAGAAAATATTTTTTAAATAAATAAATTCAAAAAAATTTATTTAAAGCCATTAACTCGTTCTTTGTCAATTTCTGGCCCCTCAACATTAGCCGATGCCCTAGGGATGCATATACCTACATGGGCATATTATTATTACAAATCCCCTAATTATCGAATTGGTTGGCCTTCAAAAATGTGGAGAGAGCGCTTTATGGTAATTAAAAAAATATTTTTATAAAAATATTTTTTCAAAAAGTGTGACCGAATTATTTACGACAAACGTTTCTCTGTGACACCAATTTATAAAAATGTTCCGATTGCTGTGCCTTATCACAGAACGTTAGTTAAATAAAACATTAAATTTTAAACAATAAAAAATTTTTTTAGAAATTTTTCCAATGAAAGTCGTGTTGGTTATTGGTCATTTGATTACGACTATATGTAAATATAAATATATTATTTTTAAATAAATTATTAAATTAAAGGTATGAAATACCTCCAAAGCCTTTATTTAGTGTTTTTGACCCTTTTGATGGGCCATACCGTCATTGGAATAAATATGGTTCGAGGCGAATGGATGAGGAAATAAATCAAAAATGTTATTATTTTAATAAAAAACATTATTTTGTTTAATTTAATAGTTGGAAAAGTAATTATAATTAAGAATTTCCAAGCTAAATTTTAAATAATTTTTGAATTTAAATATTTTATAGTAATTAATTAAAACAAAAGAAAAAGTTTATTAAATATATATTTATATTCTCAATTATTACAAATTATTTAAAAAATTACAAAAGGAAAAGGCCGACAAAAAAGCTTTAAAGTAAAAATTTTGCGTGTAAATGGGAAGGCAGTGATTATAAAAAATTAAAAATGAGGGATTCACATGTTTAAAATTGCTAGAAAATTAAGTTTAGAGCGTATCAGAACTTCATATTTAAATTTTAAAGTATTAATTTTCTATAATTTTAATGAAATTTTGAGTGCTTTATTTGCTAGAATATTAAATTAAATAATTTCGGAATTTACAGAATTTTTAAATAAATTGATGAAAGCTTAAATAATATAAAAAATTAAAATAAAAATTGAAAGAAAAATGTAAATCATAGGAATTTATTTTGCGAATTAATGAATTAAAAAATTAATCTTTAATCTCAAACGCAACCCAATTCATACCAAATAGCTCTTTTATCTCCTCTTCTTTCACCTACATCAGAAGATGGCTTTTCTATTGTTTTATTATTATTTGACAATTCTTCTTTAATTTCCTTCTCATTAATTTCAGAATTTTCTCCATTTTTTGATACATTTTCATAAATACTTGGAACACGTTCAGGACGTTCTATATTTAAATTCTCTGTAATTTTTTGAGAATCTTTGTTAGGAACAACTAGAGACTTTTTAGTATCCAAGCAAAGTACATTTCTAGAAGGTTGAGGAGTGGAAGGGGATGAATCTACTGAAAATTAAAAATTGTTAGATTTTAAAAATATGGTCGAACTTCGAAATTTAAATACCCTTTTAATGATGAAAAATAAAATTTAAAATTACTAAATGTTTTGACTATTAACCCACACCCTTCCCTCCTCAGAGGCTAATTAAATTTTAAAAACGTATCAAAAACTAAGGGGTATATAAATTCGAAGTCCGATTGTAATTAATCGTAAATTAAAATATTTAGTAAATTAATTTTGAATTAAAAAATATTACAAAAAATATTTATTTTGCACCTTTTTTCAATCCATTCACATTATTAGCACGTGAAAATTCAATTGGCGATGGTATATTATTTACTAGTTGTGTATGTGGTTGGTAATGAAAATTTTTTATTGATGAATTTGGTGAGTCTACAACAGATTTTGGGGTGGAAGTATCGCAAGGAATTAAATTATTATTGTTATTATCATCATTGCAATGAATATTAGGAGAACACGTCACTTTATGGTTGTTGTTTTTGTTTAAATTCTGCAAAAATTTTTGGGGGGTTTATTTAGTAAATAAAATAAAGCAATTTTTATAATTAAAAAATATTTAATTTTTTACATTCGTTTGTCCAATGCCATTGACTCTAAAATCATCAAAAACTTTATTTGATTGTCCTGCATTAATTGAATGAAATGAAGAATTTCCTGGATATGGAGGAGGTGGTGGACGATTATTAAATTGTTGTTGATTATTTTGAGTAGAAAGGAGAGGAGGAGCTCTCTTAGGTAATAAACTTGTGGTAGAAGATTGGGATATAATACGTGGTTGTTGAATTTGGGTTTTTTGATGATTGGGAAGTACAGATTGAGTCATTCGATTAATTACACGTTCCTCTGTTTAAATAAATTAGGTAATTAATTTTAAGAAGTTCAATTACTTTTAAAGAAATAATGTAATAGACATAATTTTGCGATTGGTACTTTAAATGACTGGTCCTTTCCTTATATTTCTTTACGAGATAGGTAAATCCACTCTAAGATTTAAAATATTACCTTCTTCTGGAAGAACATCAGCTTGCATAACTTTACAACAAGCTGGCAACTTTTGAATATTTGAATCATTTTGATTCGTAGATTTAACGAATTCTTCATGTTTTCGTCCATTTATAGAAGAATTGCGCCAAGGGGGTGCAGGGAAAGATCGTGCCATAGGAGGTGTACTAGAAGGAGGGTATCGCAAAGATCCGCCAATTCTGCCATTCCTAGCACGCATTAACATTATTGGAGAATTAAAATTATTAGATCCATCATTTGAAGGGGGAGATTGTTCTATAATGCGAGGACGGTCAATGTTTTGTTGTTGATTATAGAAATTACTACTAATTGAGGAATAAAGACTTGAAGAACAAGCTGTAGCAGTAGAAGCAGCACGAGAATGAGGAAATATTTCTGTTAAAAATTTATTTTAAATCTTAATTTTTAAAGTAAAAAAGTGTGCGCGAGTGAGTGTAATTAATCCACCAACAAGGTTAAAACGAAAAAACGTACAAATATTTATATATTTTAGTTTAACATGTAATATTACATATCACGTACATATAATCACAAATACTATACAAAGTGAAATAAGATATGTATCAAGTACCAGGGATAGAATTTTTTGATTTTTAAAAAATTCAGGCGAAGGAGAAAGAGAAATTTTAAGAAATTTTTCCTCCTTTTCAAACATTTTCATAAGTACTTCTAGCACGCTCACGACAATGTAAAAGGCGAGGCAATGCCGAAGGTGTTGAAGAAGTTGAGGAGGAATTAGAAGAAGGATTGGCAGGGGAAGAAGCTGAAAAGATATCAGCTTTCCCTTCATGTAAATCTCGTGTGTTAAGTGGAGGATTGGGAGTTGAAACTGGAACATAATTTGAAGGTAGATGAATGGCCACAGATGAAGGACGAAGGAAGCTTGCATCATTTCCTTCTTCAGTTATTGTTAAAGAAGGCCTTGGTGTTAATATTGAACGTCGTTGCTGTACAGGAGTTGAACGACGAAGCAAAGAAGAACGTTGAAAAAAACGTTGGACCATGGAAGAATTTTGTGTTGGAGTTTTTATTGAAGTTTCTTTTGGAATAAATGAATTATTAGAATCAGAACTTTGTTGACGGTTGTGTAAAATTAATGGTGGTGGTTTTGGGCAACGTAAAGGGGATTGGTTATTTGTGCTGTGCTTGTGCGGAGGAACAGGAGGTACTCCAATATTAGTGCTTTGTGGTGCTTTTCCAGAATTTTGTGTTTTAGTGGATTGTGTTGTGAAGGAAGAATGCTTACGAGCTTGTAAAGGGGAATTGGCTGGAGATTGATAATGATTATTTTGGTGAGGTTGATTTTGTTGTTGGTGGTGGTTTTGATTGCCATTTGATGCATTTTGTGAATGATGAAAGGCTAAAAATTTAACTAAATGAATGAGATAACAATTATATAACAAACAATAAGTTCCATTTGAAAAGCCATTTGAATGCTCTGATAAAGTTGTCGGTCCGGGACATGGAGGAGGTGGAGGAGGGCTGCCAACTGTAGGCGTTCTATGTCCCCCAACATTTAAAAGTTCATTTTCAGTCGAGTAAATTGAACTTTCTTCAGATTTATCAGAAGCAGAGTTGCCGTCCTTTCCGACCTTTCCTTTACGGCTTGGACTCTAAAATTATTTTAAAACCATTTAATTTTAAATAAAATATTTTCTTTTGCCTTAGCAATCAATGCTTTTGCTGCTCTTTTCATAAAAGTTGGCCTTTCAAGTTTACGAGAATCCATAGCTTTATATTGTTCCATTATTTTTTCTTCCAATTTTTCTTTATGTCTTCTTAAATGTTGAAGTTTTTCTTGTAATTCTTTTTGTTCATTATAAAAAGCATCTGAACGATTATGTAATTGTTGATTTTGAACTAGAAGTAATTCAATCTGACGAATTAATGTTCGGTTTTCATCTCCAGTATATTGTCTCAACATCTTTAAAAATTAAAGTTAATTTTTAGGTTAGGAGAAGATATAAATGAGATAAGAGTCCCTCTCCTGTTATTTAAAATATCTAAGACTATATAACAGATACAAGTCTAAAGATCCCTTCTTCAGGGGTTTTCCCAGTATGTAATTATCAATATTGTCGAAACATATTTTATCAATAGATTATTATGTGGGGAGAATCCCCATTTACTACCTCCACTTGACGTCTTAAATTAGCCAATTCCAAATCCTTTTCAGTCAAAGCGTTATTTAATTGTTGAATAATTACATTTAAATTACAAATTGTCGATTTTTGTGCACATTCAGAAATTCGTAAACGCCGCAATTCATCCAAACAAGTATCGCTTCGATTGGCAGCAGAATTTTGGTCTCTTCTAATAAAATCAAAAAAATTTTCCCTAAATTTTTAAATATTTACTTTAATTCATTCAATTCTCGATTAACACGATCCAATTCAATTTCAAGTTCTGAAACTTTGCGAACTTCCCGTTGGCGTTCTGTTCTCTCTTTCTCTAATTCTAGCTCTAAATTAGATCTTTCTCTCAGAAAATCAGCTTTAAGTGATTGTTCATTTAAAGTCTAGAAAATAATTTTTTTAATATTAAATATTGCTTTCTCAACCTTTTCTCCTTTCAATTTTTTTTGAAGAGTTATTACACGATCATAATCGCTGCTAAGCATTTGATGCAAATTTTGTAAACGATCATGGTCTGAGGCTAGAGCGCTGAAAATAAGACTCTTATTTAGAGGGATATAAATTTCTATAAGATTCAATTAAAATCTTCAACTTTTTAAATTCAATTTAAATCACCTATGTATTAATTCCAAAGATTCTAATCTCTTGAGTGACTCTGTATTTGCTTTTATTGCTGTCTCGGCCTGTAGACGTGCAACAGCTAATTCTTGTTTATGCTGTTCTTCTTGTTTGTCTTTGTTCTTAATAGCAATTTGTAAACTTGCTAATTCTGCAGTTTGGCGTGAAGTTATGAACTAAACATTTATTTTTTTAGAATAATCATTAAATATTTATAAAAACCGATTTTTGTTGTAATTCCTCAATTTCACGTTTAGCAGCTAAAAGTTCAGCTGCACGAGTACATTCGTCTGAATGAGCTTTTTGAAGGCGTTCTTGTAACAGAATTACCTTTTTAAAATTATAATTTAATTTTCAAAAAAATATTTTTTCCCTTCCTCCTTACTTGCTCTTTAATATTTCTATTCTCTACTAATAATTTATCATCACTAGCATTTAATTCATGCCCAGTACGTCTTAAACTTTGAATATCTCTTTTAAGATCGTCCAATTCTCTAATTTGTTTTTGTTGTTGTATTCTTAAAGAATCAGCTTCATGTCTGGCAGAACTCAAAGCTTTCATTAAAAGATCATCAATAACAGCAATTAATTGAATATCATCATTTAAGCAGTTTGGTTCAAGACAACAATTATCAGAAGAATTAATGGCCATTAAACAAACTAAGAAGATTAATATAGGTAATTAATGTACTATAATTTATAGTTTTCAGGTTATTAATTTCTTTATCTCTCCCATATCCAATTGTTTATCTTAGAATACCTTCTCTCTTATCAAACTCCCAGAAGTGATGTGATATTGTTGTATTTTAGTTTCCTTCAGATCTAACAGATGTCCTTTTTATTGTATCTATCCGCTAATTCCCCTTGCTTATTTCCCTCTACTATTTCTGTTACATAAAATTTTAAAATTGATTTTAATTAATGTAGGATGATTAACCTAGAGAATTTAAAGCGTTTAGGCGGTGGATAAACGATCTAAAATGATAAAAGAGAATCGATGCCCCGGTGGCTAAACTTTTGGAAAACTTTTTCTATAATTTAGAAAGGAGGTACATATTGGGCAATTTGGAATAATCCTTCCCTTTCCTCATCTCTGTCTCAGATTTATAAAAATTATTTGAACTCCAAAATACAACTTGCCAGATCTTAATCTTTCCAATAAATCTCTCAGTCGTCCCCTTTCAGTTGCTAATTCCTCTCTAAAACGTTGCCCTTTTCTAATTTCTGCATTTAATTTTTGTTTTTCTTTTTCCAATTCTTCTACAGAAAATTCTCTTTTTGCCTCTGATTGAGCCAAATCTTTTTGTAAATCAACTAATTTTCTTGTTAAATTTTCTGCATTTTGTTCAGCAACTATTAATGCTTGTTCTTTACTTTCAAGCAATTCTAAACGAATTTTAAGGGCCGATTTTTCAGCTTCAAAGGACTTTTTCTGTTTTTCCCATAGGTTAATTTCTGTTTGGTGTTTTTCTTTAATTGAGTCTAACTCGGCACGAATATCACGTTGTTGTATACACATTTTTTGAAGTTGATTCTCAACTTCATCTTTTTCATCTTTAATTAGTTCATACTGTTCTTTCTCCACTGTTAAATGCCTTTCCAATTCTTGGTTCTGAAATTTAAGTTTTTTTAAATTTGAATAGGAAAAATTCTTTAGTAAAGATTAGGGTTTCACCGGAAGTTTCGGTGTTTTTTTAGGTTCCGGGAACCGGAACTCAAATTGGACCTGGTTCCGGTTCCGGTCAAAATTTCGGTTCCGGTGAAACCCTAGTAAAGATGCTTAATCAAACTATCTAAGCTATACTGCTTGTGTTACTAAATATCTGTCCCAGAAATATTAATCAAAATCAGAAAATAATGACAAAAAATTAACTTTTTGTTCAACTCCTTCCAATCGTTCCATCAATGTTTGATGAGTTTTTAATGGAACATTTGTCCTTTTAAATTCAACTAATTGATGTTTTAATTTTTCAACATTTTGTTGTTCTTTCTGAAAACGCTCAGTATTCTCTTCAACTTTTTTGTTTGCCGTTTCCAGTTTGATAAACAAATTTTTAATATTTTCGTCTTTTTCTGTTAGAATTTTTTCCTTTTCTGCAAGTTCTTTTCTAATTTCGAATAATTCTGCTGGATTAGCACTAAAAAATAATAATTTTTATAAAATTAGTTAAACATTTAGAACAAAGTTTTGAGGGGCAATCAATGTGATAACAGAATTCAAACCCCCTCCTTCTCCTCCCACTTACAAAAACTTTTTCTTATCTCCTAATTAAGGTAATCGTGGAGAATTAAGGAAACACCTTAAAAACACCTTAAAAATTACCCTAATTATAATATTCTTTAGAAAAGTATCAGTGTTATTAAAATATTAAATAAGAAAATAATCCTTTCAGTAAACTTTTGACAATTATTCAACAGTTTTGGAAATCTGAAAATGTGTTTCTAAAGAATTTCTTTCATTATTTTCCACAAAGAAATAATAAAAAGAAGGAAAAGTAATTTTCAAATGATCGTTAGCCTTAACTATGAATAATATTATAATTATTTTCATTTCACAAAAATTGCCAACAAAGCAACTTTAAAAATATTAGATAAAAATTAATGTTTTAATAAATAAAAGAATGAAAAGGAATAAAATGTAAGCAAAGATGAAAGAGTTTTTTTTGAAAAAACAAATAAAGGAAAATTGCCTCGTTTATTCACAAAATGTTTGTGAATCTTTTAAATAACGTATAATTTAAAGAATTGGAAAATTTAGAAAAAGAAAAAGAAAATTAAAAAATAATTTTAACTATTATAATAGAAAAATTAAAAATTAATGCGCTATAAACTATAATAGAAATTGGTCTGGATCTGGATTTTTCCTGGATCCAGAGTCCAGATCCAGGCATTTTTTGAACGTCCTGGATTTTTTCCGGATCTGGATTCTTCCTGAATTAAGATCAAGAATCCTGACCAGGTTACTAACCTAAACCAGATCCAGATCCAGGATTTTTGAAAATACCGATCTCTAAAGTATAACTCTAAAATTTAACAAAAAAATTTCCGAAAAATTTTAATTAAGAAAAATCCACCTTTTACTGTTCCTTTCTTTGTTTTCCAGTTGAGCTTTAAGTTTTTTATTATCAAGTTGTAGTTCCAAAATTTGCGATTGATTGTGTGCTTCTAGTTGGGCCAATAATGAAGATTCGTTGAATAAAGAAGTATTAGAACCATTACAATTATCCAATCCAATACGAGGGGAATCAAATTCTGTCAGAGAACAAATTTGTCTTTCTAATTCAGAACATTTTTGACGATTAACACGCAATTCACGTTCGAGACGGCCATTTTCTAGAAGTAATTCTTCTATACGTTCGCGAGTCTGAACGAGAAAAAAAAAGAATAATTTAATAAATATTTTGGCGATAAAATGATTAAATATAAAAAAAGAATTTTTGTTAGCAAAAATATTAAGCTTTTAGTTAATTAAAATAAATAAATTATTCCACCTTTGTCATATCAAGCTGAAGAGATTTAACATTTCCTTGCGCCTCTATTAATTTTGTTTCTACCTGTTAATTTTTTGATCAAATTACATGATAATTTAAATACCTCCAAATGGGCAGAAATCTTTTTCTGATACTGCTCTAATTGTTCTTCCATTACTTGATTTGTCTCATGCATTATTTTATTGTCTTCTTTTAGATGCTAAAATAATTTAACAGTATTTTTAAAAAATAAATATTTTAGTGTAGATTCCCTCCAGTTATGGCATAAAAAATATCAGCAAGTCATAACTAATTAAACTGAAAACTTAATTAACATACAAAGTCTGTATTGGGCAGAGTAACTTAATCTTGCAATCATATTGTGTGTATATACATACTTATACTATGTATCCTCATAATTCTGTTATGTGATTTTTCATTTTATGCCATTATGGTCAAAATATTTTTATGTTTAGCGGTGTTAGAGTTTGTCCCAAGTATTGGTCCTTAGTTTTTAAAGCATTATTTTTTAAGCAAATATTCAATTAATTTCTCTTATTTAAACTTACATTAGCTCGATTTTTGTAATAATCCATCTCATTAAGTCTACTTCTCAATTTTTCATTTTCTGCCTCCAATCTTTCAAGCCGATTTAATTTGTGTTGCATACAATCCATCTTTAATTTTTAAATTTAATTTTCATTTTTGCTTAAAATATACTTCATCTCTGTAATCTTTTGCAGCGCGAGCATCTTTAACCAATTCTAGTCGTTCAGCTTGCAATCTACCAATTTCTATACGTTGTTGTTGTAATTCGTCTTGCATTTCTTGAAGAATTTCATCTTTTTCATCACTTCAAAGTATTAAAAATTTTTAAAAATTAAGAGGTCTTTTACTTTTCATTTCTCAATTTCCTTAATTCTCCTTTAGCTGCTGCTAATTCAACACTTAAATGTCTATCTAGAGCGTTAGGGGAAGGACTTCTTGCTCCATTATTAGAGACACATTTGTTGTTATTTAGTACTGAGATATCTCCATTACATGAAGAAGAGGCTGTAGCCATTCCACTAGATGAGGATCCACTACTTCCCTCTTGCTCCTTTAAAAATTAAATTTTCACAAGAATTTTTTTGCTTTCAAAACCATATCTGCTGCCATTTCAAAAAGCTCGTTTGTAAATTCGTCCCTTTCTCGAATTACTCTCTCTAATAAAGTAACAACTCGTTGATTGTTACTTTCTATTCCTTCTTCCGTTGTCTTATCAGCTGCCTCTTCGTCAGTAGAAGCTGATGATGGTTGTTGCTCTAATTCAGCCAACAATGAATCCAAATTGACGACCGGTGAATTAGTATTGGTACTGTTAGAGGTAACCTAGAAAATGAGGAAATTTTTATTCCTCGTTAGCTGTTATAAATGTTTTGGCCGTATCTGAAAATAATGCTGCAATCATATTTTTTCCTTATTCTAAAAAATGGTTAATTTTCTCATACATATTTTTCTCTCTATTTCTGATTTGTGCCTTAAGACTATAAGCGCAATAGATTATTTTTCTTCAATTTTGTGAGCATTTACTTTTTTTCTGTCCGATGTGTATGCGTGCTTTGTCTGTCCGAGTTCGTCCGTGTTTTGTCTGTCTGTCCGAGTTCGTCAGTGTTTTGTCTGTCCGTGTTTTCTGTCAGACATCACAAAAATGTAATATTTTTTATTTTTTGCTTTTAATCTTTTCTCTATAATTACATTTGAAAATGCCACAGGGAAATTCATTGGAAGTGAACGAGTGAAAAAGTCTGACCTTTCTGTACAAAATAAGGAAAAATATGGAAAGGAAAAAATGAAGGAAAAAATCATTATTTTCAGATACGGCCAATGTTTTTTAATTATTGAAATAAGCACCCGTTGGATTTCTTCGACAAGTTCACTTTGAACCTCCGGTCGCATATGCTTTATTCGTTCGATAAAACGTTCTCGTTGAGGTGACTGAACGGCAGCACCTAAAAGCAGCGCCAATAATTTCTGCATTTCATGGCCAGAAATCTCTAAAAATGAATAAATTCAAATTTATTTGAGAGAAAGTTACGTGGAAATTTTTCTGTTTGTGTAAAAATTAAGAGAAGAGTTTGAGAGAAAATTGAGAGAATCGATCAAATATTTCCCTAGTAATATCAGCATTTTATGGGAAGGGTTTGGAGGGCCATATTTGCATTTGGCTGGCAGAAAAGAGTCGGTTAGGGGAATAAAGCAAAGAATAAAAGTAGTAAATAAACTAAATAATATTATTTGAGGCATAAATCAAAATAAAAATCAGCAGTTGGAGAGGGACAACAACAAATGAATTTTTGTTGATTTACAAGAATGAGGAAGGAAAATTAAACAAATAAATACAAAAATAAATGTTTGCTCTTGAATATAATATATAGATTAGTGATCGGAAAATGAACTTAAAAAATTAGACAAGTAATTGATCAAATAAAAACAAGTAATTTAGATTTTTATAAAAATTATTTTTTAATTATTTTTGCAAAAAAACATGCAAAAAATAAAAAGTGCCATTCTAAAAAATTTAAATACTGTTTGAAAATTAAAACAAAAAGTTTAAGGGCAACAATTTATTTAGCATTTAAGTATTTGTATTCACCTTGATTAATTAGTTTTGATTATTTAATTAGATAAAATTTATAAATTAGTGATTATAAGTAGATTAAATCATTTAAAGGATCTGATAAATGGTCAAAGTTGAATTAATTATTTAATAATTCAAAGTTAATTATTTATTAATCACTTATTAATTATTAATAATTATTAATTATTAATAATTATTAATCACTTCTATGTTAAATATCAAATCTGATTTTAAACTTAAAATAAATTTTTCTACATAGGATAAAGTAGGACATTACTTGTGTAAAAATAAGACAAAGAATCTGCATATACTATTTGGGATATAAATTACGTAACTCTCATTCAAGTGGTCAACAAATTTTAAAAAATTTGTTGTATTTTTCTTTTTAATTACTTATGAGTCAGGCTATTTTAGGTCCAAATTATTAAAAAATTTAATTAAAAAAACAAATAAATATAATCGATGACAAAAATATATTTAAATAACTACATAAGCATTAATTTATTCGGCAGGGAGAATTTTACTTATAACGGGTAAAAATAAGTAAAAAATTGGGAAGGAACGTTGGTAGATTAGCTGCATTTATATATTTACTTGTATACATATATTCATTTACTTGTGTTCTACTTATTTTAAATGCTATTTGTTGGGAAAAGCGTCCCGCTGTCGACATCAGGGTCATTTTAGTTAATAGAATGATGTTATTGGATGATTTTACAAAGTTTTCAACATTTTACTAAAAATATATACTAATCTAATTATTATATTTAATTTTTTTTAAATTAGGTAATGTTTTGTGAGCATTTCGGATTAACTTTGAATCGTTCATTTAAAAAGATAAATTAAATGAATTGTCAGAAAAAATGTTTAGCTTTATTAAAAAATGAATCTTTGAATATTTTTCTAATATTTTAAAAATTATTAATCTTCTTTATTTTATTAAAGATAAAAAATAAATCTTTTTTTCAAAAATAACTTTTTTCTAAAAAATACTTTAAAGAAAATATTATAAAAATAAATTATAAGTGAGAAAATTTTAATCTGAAAGCCTGCAAAGCTTTTAACGCAAAAATGGCTATTTCTTAATTAAAATTCTCTCATTATTAAATTTTATCTTTATTTAATTATTAATTAAACCAGTTTTTTAAATATTATTTTGATCTTTAAAAAGTTTTTTGTAAAAAAAGACTTTTCCTTGTTATGCAGCTTTAATTTTATTCCCCCATAAATGGCGTAATCAGAAAAGTCATTTGCCGTCAAAACTATTAAAAAGCAAAAAAAGGAAAATTTGAGAACACGCAAAATAAGGAAAGAAGGAAAAGTAAAGTGCAAATAAAAGCTTTTAATAAAAAAATAAAAGTTTTTAAAGCGTTACTAAAACTCTGCGCAGTATAAAAGAATAAAACAGGAATTGGAAAAAAGGAAAGATTTGGCAAAGATTTTATTAGTTTTAATAAAAAAATAGCTAAAAATGGTTGGATAAGAATTAAAAAAAGCTCTAATGTGTTACTTAATGGATGGGCTAAAAAATTGAAAAAAAGATGATAAGATGGAAAAAGGAGTATAGAGAGAGGTAGGTAGTCTTTTGATAATTTATTTTGTGGATATTTTATTGTCTAAAATTATTTTAAAAATTTTTTCGAAATTTTAAAGAAATTTATTTTTAATAAAATATTATTTAAATAAATAATCGGGTGAAGTAAAATTTTAAAAAATAATATAAAGAGTGACAATAATTATGCAAATTAAAAACGAGATGACTGATGTGTGTGTGTTTCTCATTTTTTTTGTTTTCCCTTTAATTCTTGAAGCCTTTCTTCCAAAAATAAATTTATAAAAATTGTTTTGCTAAAAAGAAAATGTATTGTTTTGACCTTTTCTTGAGAGTATTCATTTGATTAATGGATTTTTGTTTAGATAAAATAAAAATTTTTAAAATAAATTTTGAATGAAAATATTTAATAAAAAATTATTTAAGCATATTTAAATTAAACTTTTAGTAATTTAAATTAAGAGTAATTATACTTTTATTAATCAACAGATGACATAATGAATAAAAAATATTTTAACAGAACAAAAAAAATTATTCAAAATATATTTTTAAAATCTAATTTTTTTAAAAGAAAAGCTGGTCAGACTATGTATTTTTATAAATATTCTATTTAATTAAAGGTAAATATAATTGCTCGTGTCAAAATTAGTAATTCTAAGCACGAAAATAAAAAACAGACATATTAAATTACAAAAACAAGTAAAAGAATAAAGGTTGCAAATATTTAAAATATTAAGTAAAATATTTTAAAAAATCTATGTTAAAATATTTTTTAATATTTTAACAAATTAGACTAGACAAGGAAATTCTGAAAATTTTGACATTAAATTTTTATTTAATTTAATATGTAATGATTTTTTAATCAACAAATATATGTTAATTAATTTTTAACAAAAAAGTAGTAGTATTTATTAGTGATAGAAACCAGGCGGGAGTTAGGGGAAAAATGACAAAAATAAAATAAAATGTAAGAGTAAAAGTAAATGAATAGCTATGCATATATTCTCGTATATAATAGTGTGTTGGTAGAAAATGACCTTGTAATTCCTTTCCATTATTTCAAACATTCACCCTTTAACCATATCTAAACAAGGTAAACAACAAGGGATATGTACAGGAAATTCTTTTTTTATGAGAAATATAAAACTTTTAAGACTTGAATTGGCAAAATTCAAAAAATATACACTAGTAATGTTAATCCCTATCACCAGGGATAAGGATTCCTCGGAGGACGAAGGTGGAAAAATTTCTCGTTTTACTCGCCCAATAAATTCATTTCCTTGAGTAAGGGAGAAATTACTATATCCATTTCGCCTGATTTTCTGGCATTGTTGGAAATCAACCTTATATTTTTCGAATCTAAAGAATTTAGTGAAAATAATGCAAATTAGAATGTCCTCATAGTATAGAATTAAAATTTCCAAAAAGATATTTGAAAAATAAATTATAAGAAAGGATTTTTAAAAATAAATATGATATCCAAGATTTAATATGTATGAATGAAATTTCTTAAAATCATAAATTGCAAAGATTATCGTTGTAAAGGAAGTAATAAATTCTTTAAAGGTAAATAAAATGTTTATGATGGGGACAGGAAGTTTAAAAAAGAATGTTTAGGATTTTAGGTCATATTTTGTGTCAGTCATTTAATCACCGTTTGGGTTATTTAAAGAAAAAAGCAATTGTCAACAATAAAAGACAAAAATTCCACGCCTAAAACAACAAAATTTTAGGACTGAGAAAGGCTAAAAGTATAAAGGCCATTTATTTTGGATATGAGGAGGTGGACGGTGCTGGGAAGTACTTGAAGCTTTTACTTGGATGGGGGGAGTACTTTAAACGGAAAAATAAGAAAAGAAAAGATTTTTTATTTTAATACATCTGTCTGGAAGAAAGTTAAAAATTGTGAGCACATTTGGGCTTTAAACTCACTCTCTTACACAAGCAAAATAAATTTTTTTTCATTGGTCAGAAAATTGGAAAAAAGTTGGAAATAATAGAAAATCCTCCAAGAATTGTAAATAAATCTTAAAATGAATGGAAAGTGAGAGGAATGATCGGGTGGATGATGGACAATTTCCTCTCCTTTTTTTAAATTTAGGTATAATTGTGGCACAAACATATGTGAAAGCCGTGAAGGGGAAAAACAAAAAGTGATTAGAATAATAAAGTATGGGAATTTTGAATTATAAAATTATAAAGAGAATATTTAAAAAGAATTTATGTACATATAGAGGTTTGGATTGCGAAAACATCGTAAAAAATTTTTACGACGACTGTCGTAACAATTACAAAAGATTGACATTATTTGTGAAGAGGAAGCCAAAAATGTTAGATTTAATGTTAAACAGAAATTTAATAAAATTAATTTACCTGAAGAAGGGGATCGAGCAATACAATGAATTTTAGGTAAAGTAATGATGAGAAGAGAATTGCTCTTTAAAATTAAAAAAATTTATTAATTAGTTGATTGTGATTAAATTTATCAGTTTATACTTATTTATGTTTAAACTTCATGCATTAAATAACAATTAAAAATTATAATGAAGGTAAACGTTTTTAGATTTATCTGAATTTCTGTTTTATTTGACTGGAAGGGTAATTAAATTTTGGAAAAAGTTTAGCCATCTTCAAAAATTCTAAAATTTTGTTTGATGTTAAATAACAGATTATTTATATACTAGAATTTCACAATTACAAAACTTTAGATTGTCTAAACACCCCCTCCCCCCCCCCCCCCCCAATTAATATTTTAAAATTATTTTGTATATTATTAAAATAACTTGATAAAACAAGCAAAGTGCCCTCAACAACTGATGAAATTGTCTAAGCCGTTTAACAATACTCTGACAATTACCAGCGCAAATAACGTGATTATTATTATTATTTTCTGATGAAAAGCCTGAACTAAGGCTTTCACTTCTTTCAACAGTGAAATTATTTTGACGATCGCAATTATGCAGCTGATGATCTTCAATGGGAGGAAGAAAGTTTTTAAAAGTGGTTGTTAAAGTAAATGATGGAAAAAGTAGAAAAGCAGCTGATTGTTGTTGTTGGTGATCGTTTGCACTACTTCTTAATTCAGAAAAGAAGTATATAATTATGCAAATCAATTAATCAGTAAATAAATAAATATATTTTTTTAAAAAACTAGTTATTTTGCTGGTCATTATAAATTAAATATATTTTTTTGAATAATTTTTTAGTCATTTAATGATAATAACTAGTAGAATTATAATCTAATTATAATAGTAAAAGAGATTTGGAATGTATAAAATGGAAATCTTGTTAATGCTCTAAGTTTATGTTTAAATTTATTTTTTAAATACCAATTAACGACTTTTTTGAAAAATCGGGAATCTTTGGTATTTTTTCTATCATACAGTTTTAGTAATTTCCTAACAGAATAATTTAAAATAAAACATACAAAAAACAAAATAAAAGGTTTAAAGCAATGCTATCACAAAGTTCCGAATAGCGAAGCTGAAGATCAGTATTGGCAGGAGATCGCCAAGTAGATTCAGATATTAGTGGACCATGGAGGTTGGGATTAGAATGTTTAGAATAATGTAATGATGTCCCACAGACACAATCACTTAAAAATATTTAAAATTAGGGAAAGTTGAAAACAAAGTTTTGCTTAAAAATATTCCTCATATCCCTCGATAATTACATATGTAAAATAAAAATAATTTATTAAATATTTCTCTATTTATTTGTAAATAAATTAGAAAATATTTAGTAAAATTGTGTTAAAGCTTTTTTGCTAAACGGACCCAAAAACTAACCAAATCCACTCGCCCAAGGCACTACTCCAAAATCGTTGTTCATCCATTCACAAAATCGGGTCTATTATTGGCTAATGGACATTTTAAGAATTAAATTAAATAGAAATTTTTTATTTGTAAAATAATTAAAAATATATTAATTCATTCTTTTGTTACTTCTCTGCTCTGTTTATGTTCTTTTTTAAATATTTAACGGACAAAAATTTTTGTGATGAAGAATAAAGAGAGAGAGAAGAATAGGTTAAAGCTCTCTAATATTTTTAATAAAGCTATTCTAAAAAAATAAAAAAATATTTTTATAGAGCAAAATACGGAAAAAGTTACAAAAAAAAGAGAAAAATAAATAAATATTTTTGTTAAAATTAAAAAAAGGAGAAAAGAAAAATATTTGCAGGTGTGTGTTCAAACAAAGGGCAAATTGTGAAAAAATCTCCTCTTCAACCCATAAACGGATGGTTGCTTCAAATAATTGGATTAATTCTATTTAAAGGGCAAGGGCAGGAAGAGTTGGAGGTGGTAAATAGAAGAAGAGATTAAAAAGTAATGGATGGAATATAATTTTTAGAGAAAGGAATTTGATAAAAATTGTGGAAAATTAAAAATAAATTTTAATGAAGATGAAAGAAATTAATTAATTTTAATTTAAACTAAAGGTGTAGCAATTCGAAAATAATTAATCAAATGTTTCCAATTTAATTTAATTTAAATTTTATAAATTTATTTTACATAAAAATTAATAAATAATATAAAAAGTCTGAAGCGGAAAAAGTGAAAGAATTAAATAAAAATAATATTGTGCAATTTTGGGAAAAGCTCTTTTAAAATGCTTCAAGTTTTGGAGGAAGAATAATAAATTCTTTTATATTATTTTTTTGTAAATTGCAAAAGAAATGCTAGAAGATAAATAAAAAATAGTCAATTTAACGAAATTAGTTAAAATTATATTAAGGCCATGAAAGCTTAGAAAGCTAGAAAATAAATACTTGATATATTGGGTAATTTAAATGTTTTTAAAATAAATCATAAATTCTGTTTTATAAATAGGGTGTTTCAAAATATGCACGAAAAATTAAAAAATATGCGCATATATATGCACCGAAAAAGCCCAAAATATGCATCAAAATATGTCAAATTTGCCGAAATATGCACTAAATATGCAGCAAAAATAATGAAAATGTGTTTTAAAAATCAATATTTTATGTAAAAAATATAAATTTAGCATTTGAGTTGCAGTTTATGAGCAATTTTAAAAAATTTTTATCAACTTTAAATTCAACCAAAAAAAATTTTTTTGAAAAAAAAATTTCCCGAAAAATTTTTCGGATAAATTTTTTCAACAAATTTTTATTAAAAAATTTTTTTGCCCAAAAAATTCCAAAATTTTGAAAATTTTGCCCGATTTTTACTAAAATTTCTCAAAAAATGCCAAAATATGCACAAATTTAGGTAGAAATATGCAAAATTTCCCAAAATATGCATCGATATGCAAATATGCACAAAAGTACCGAAATATGCAAAAATATGCTATAGGAACCCGGTCCCTAATCATCGTACCGACGTAAAAACACCATTTTTGAGCGTTTCAGCTCATAGCATATCCGCATACAAAATATGCATTTGCATGTTTTGAAACACCCTATTTATAAACATTAAAATATTAACTACTTTTTTTAATTCTAGACAGTCAAAACATCAAAATATAATTTATTTTGAAAGGAATTTAACTTAAAAATAATTTTTTAAAGAAAACTTCATTAGAGTGTTTTCAAGTCATTTGACACCAAAATTGCAAAAACGAAGCTTCTTTATATATTTACTTTTATTTCCTTCCCTCGCAGATTATATTTATGTCCACCTGGGAGAATAATGGTCAGTCAACATTTCGAATATAATGAAGAGACTTTGAAAAAATTCGCCAACCTGTCCAGAATGGTCAAGAGGAAGAAAGGCGTTAAAAAGAAAAATAAATAAAATAAAAATAATTTAATTTATTTTATTTATTTACAAGTTCCAGAGAAACAACAAAAAATGCTCATTCATTCAAAAGACTTAAAGTGAACAATTAAAAACAAACTTAACTTCACTTAAAAACATTTAAGTTCCACATGTTTTCTTTTCTATTATTTCCTGTTTTTTTGTTTTTTTAAAGATTATTTAGTCAAACAAATGAAAGATTAAAAAATGATTTAAAAGTTATGTGTGTGGATTATATGACGTAGATGAGTGTTAACAATTAATTAAAATAAATATTTATTTAAAAGATTATTAAAAATAAAATTGCTTAAAATATTTCAAAATAAATTTTTAAAATTTAGCAGGAAGGAGTGATAGACTTTAACTTTAGTCATACATTGACATAGACTTTAGCATTATTTAAACATAACCTGAACTTAAAAAACCCGTAATATTATTTCCTAAAAATATAGTACCTAAAATAATTTTACAAATTAGAGGTTATATGGCCTTGTACAAACAAAAAAAACAATGAAAAATCTATGGCAGTCGATACAGGATATGTTCTCTCTGGAGGTGGGCATCGATCGTTAAATGGATATATCCTTATTTGGTTTTAATTTTAGAAAAAATAGAAATAATTTTTTAAATTATTTTTTGGAATGCTTTAAGAAAAAAGAAAAGTTTAGATTTTCTATCAAAAAACATTACTTTCTTTTTACAAAAAAGCAAAAAAGCTTAAATGGAGAAGGTAAGTGACTGGTAAAGTAGAACAATTTGCGGCTTTGGGAAGGGGTTAGAGAAGAATCTACAGGCCAACGTTGAAAGGTGCAAATATGGGGGAATAAAAAAATATCAAAATGGATGAGAATAAGGAAAGAAGAAGAACATTTTCTTTAAAATATTAAAAAAATTGTTTGGAGTAGAGGAAGAAGGTGTGCAGCCGTCTGTCTGCAAACGAAGATGGAAGACGAAAATGGTTAAAAATAATATATAAAATTGTTCTGCCGGAAAGTTTTTTGAAGAATTTTATTTGTTTGAAGGACACGGAACAGAAAATGTTAAAAATTAATAAGAAAATTTTAAATTAATAAATTTTATTTAATCATTTATAAATTAAAAGTGAAGATTAAATTGTAGTAATAGTAATTTATATATTTTAAATTAATTTTAAATAAAAAAACCTAGTTATTTCAAACAAAAATTAATTACTTAACAAATATGGATCTAAAAATAATTTTTATTAGAAAAGTTTTCAACTCCAAATAAATGTCTAAAAATAAAAAATATATGTATAATAATAATAAAAATATATGGCCGCTCCTAAATATCTATTTTCATCTTTTATTTTTTAGCTTTGTCTAAAATAAAAGCAAATAAATAAAAAATATTTTTGTTAAAATATTTGCATATTGACAAACATTTATTTTATTTTTAATATTTGTCGATGTTCGGGTCAACCTCAAAAAAGGTCGTTCCTTTAGTCATATTCTTTTTTATACATATTTTTAGGCTTAGAATTTACACATTCCCCTTCCTTAAATGAAATTTTTCGTATTTTTATTTGCTAATTTTAGCCCTTCTCGGAGTGCCAAAAAATTACAAACGAAAATTAATTATAATCGGGAAAGAGAATAATTTATTCACTCGATTAATTACCTTGGGTTATTATTGTTTCAACTTTATGCTTGAAAGGGAGAGTAATTAATTTTAAAAATAATCAGAATATTTAATTAAGAATTAAAAAATATTTTCTAAGATTGCTAACAATAAATTTATAAGAAATATTTTAAAAGAAATGCATAGTATATCTTTACAAAAAAATCTATAAATTTGTGGAAATTTCGGAAGCTAAAAAAGAAAAAATAATGGGGTTATTGCCGAGTTAGTTTTAGTGGACGCTAGAAAATATATTAAAAGTCTGTTTGGTTGTTAGGTAGTTAGGCAACCAAATGGGGATATTAAATGGCAAACCACTCATTTATGAGTAGTATATGGCAAAGAAAAGTGGACAGAAGGCAGGTGCTTGGGAGAATTTTTTGGTTTAACAATTTTGCTTTACCTTTTTTATTTTTAGACAGAAAATTTTGAAATTAAAATTTAAAAATATTTTTTTTAATTTTAAAATATATAGTTAGATTAATCCTTAGTATGGCCTACATTTAAATTATAAATTAAATAATTCATTATACGCATCATTTTAGGATCTATGTAATGGAAAGAGATTGCACTATCTGAGCAGCAATTACGGCCCTGAAATATTTCTAAAATTATTTTTAATTAAAGAAGGATTCCTTTGAGAATTTGATTTACTAGCTTATTATTAAATATTTACAACTTTTTGTTTAAGTCAGAAAATTAATACATATTCATAAATACATATTTAGCTTTCTGAGATTGTTTGGGAAGAAAACATTTATTTTAAATATTTACCGATTTATAAGGAAATTTGCTATAGCTTTTTACCCAATTATAATAATCATCATCTGGCAATTTAATAAGTGAATTATCTGGAGAGACTGGAATGAATCTATGTCTTCCTTTAGAATCTCTATTAATTTAAAATAAATTTAATTTATTTATAATTTAAATACTACCTAGAATCTATTAAAGAAATATTTAATTTTCTCATACAACTACCAATTTCTAAATCTTCATAAATCTCTTTTGAGTCACACAATTTATCGCCACGTAGACCTATTTCAACAAATTTACGAAGAGCCGCTCTACTTAAGACGTAACCAGCACCTCCACTTGGATATGTTTGGCCAAGAGAGGCATCTAAACGTTTTCTGATTTCACAAAAAATAAATTATAATTAATCAACCCATAAAATGAAAGATAGCCCCAAAATAAACGAAAGAATCTGCTGAATATTTTTCTAATAATTTTCTTAAATTTTCCACAATAACAAAAGTATCGTCATCCGCCTTTAAGAACCATTCAAATTTTGACTTAAATTTTACTTTATTTTTTAAAATATTTCATTGAAAATACCTACAATATCTATATTGTCATAAATATATTTAAAAGCAGCTTTAGTTTTTGCCTAAATTTTATTAAAAATCAAAATAAAATTTTTTTCAAAACCCAAAGAAATTCTCTCCCTTCAGGCACAGATAAATTCACAATAGGTAATTTATTGTCCTTTTTAGTACTCATAAATAAATGTTTATCACAATGTGGTGCCCACGTTGCCTCTACGTAATCAGCCCTTTCACGATGATATTTTGGAGTTGTCATAATCCAACAAAAAATATTTGCATTTTCTTAAAATTTTAATTGACTTTAATTTCAAAAAATAAATAAACTAGAATATTTTGATAAATCAACATTTTCAGTTTTTAGCCATTTAAATTGCAAAAATTGAATTTGAAAGTCAGAAAATTGACTAAACAAAATAAGTGCTGAGCCAATTGCTCCAATAATCAGACCAAACAAAAAATTAGAAAAATTTTGATTTGAAGTTAAAAACGAGTTATTATTTATCATTAAAAAATATTTTTATTTTTGTGTGGCTAAAAATATGTAATAGAAAAACGGGTCAATCACAAAAAAATAATTAAATGAACTGCACTTATTTTTGAAAAAAATATTTCCTTTCGGGTCTTTAATTAAGTGATTGATTTTTAACTTTTAAATTATATGTCGCAATTTTTATTAATTAATTTTGTTGAAAGAAAGATTAATTGTAAGTAAAAATTTAAAATTAATACTTTTAATTGTTTGAAAATAAAAATGTTAAATTACAAAAAATTTTTTTAAGAAATGAAAAGACTGAGATTTATTATGCTTGCACATTTACTATATAGTTACTCGGATTAACCATTAAATTTTAATAAATAAATTAAAAATAGAATATTAAATTTATATGAAATTTGTTTAATTTGTGTATAATTTAAAGAAATTTTAATTAATTTTTTTATTTTTAATTTTATTATAATTCTAAAAAATTTTCCTCCTATATAAATTAAAATTGATTTCCAAAACAAACAAATATCTAAAAGGTAGTTTTATTTTAAATATATTGGATAAGCATTTTTATTTTTTTATGATGCATAAAAACGGTGCATTTTATATTTCAATTTAATAATTGGAAACGAATTTTTTGTTTACTTTTTTTGTTACCATAGAAACGCTGGACAGTTGGCCATTAATTTTTATTTCTATTTTACACATTTTGTTTTGACCATTCATAAAAATTAAATTTAAATATGAATTATTTGGAAATAATGTAAAATTACCAAATAAATCTATAATTAATTTATAAACTTTAATGGATTTTAATGGATGTTAATTTACATTCTAACGAGTTAGAAGCTCGTTTCCGTTTGAGGCTCTTCACTTATTTGAGAAGCCAAGAAGATTTAAAACAGTTAATTTCTAATGATCCTACCAATTCAACTCAATCATCAAAATTTAATTATTCCCAACTTCGATTAGAATTGGGACGCTTTTTGGCTGCTTATTATTTAAATTTTTCATTCCCTCTTTTATTCAAAAACATCAAAAAATTGGATATTTCTCTTAAAGGTTTTAGCTTTTTTTTGTTTATGGTTGGCTGATTTTTATAGGGACAAATTACTCTTATAGGATTCTTATATATAGAATTCTTATTTTACTGTAGTAAATTTAAATGTTTATTAAAACAGTAAATTTCACTCAGACTTGTCTTCTATTCCTCAAAAAAACAAAAAAAAAATTTTTAATTTGAAATTTATTTTTAAAATTATTTATTTTTTTGAAGACATAACAAATAAATATATTGTCTGATATTTAAAAATTAATTTTAAACATTTAAATTTACAGATATCTCCAATTCTGAGAATATTTGTATATTACCAAATTTAATAATTTGGTCAGAATTAGAAGAACAATGGATTGATGAAAATAAAGAAGAAAATAATTTAAATTTAAATAATAATCATTGGCAATTAGGAGAAATTTTATCAGAAGATTGTTCTCCTAAATTAGCAATATATCTTTTATTAAGAGAAGAGAGAATTTTAGAGGCAATATTTTTCGTTGATCATTTTAATGATTTGAGGGCTATTTTGCTTTTGAGGTTTTTGGCTGAAAAGATTTATAGGTTGACAAATTACTTTAAAATATTTATTTAAAAATAACAAAAATTTATATTTTAATAGTCTTCAATTATTATCTGATTTTTGTCAAAATTTATTTATTAAACAATTTTTGGAAAGAATTTTGTTCCTTGAAAATTTTGATAATGCTCAAACTTTAACAAATAATCAAGAAATTATTAAATATATTCAACAAAATATAGAGGTTTATGTTTACAAATGTGAATTTAAAAAATATTTAAATTTATGATAATATAGGGGCTTATTAGATAAAATAATATTAGATCCATATGTAGATCCATCCGCACATATCCACTCCAATGCGTGGATATCGCCATCCTTTAAATCACCTTAAAAGTTTAATTTGAAAAATTAAAAAAATTTATTTTAGGCGGCTTTAAATATTGACGTTCTTTTTCCCTCTAATTTTCACAATTATATCGGGTTTTTTGATTGCCTTATTGCAGAATGTGCCTATCATATGGGTGCTGAATTTGAAAAGCTTTTAGAAAATTTTTCTCTTGGAAATGAATTTATTTGTTCCTCAGATAATATTAAAGTAATATTTTTATTAAATTAATAATTTAAAAATTTAATTTTTAGTGTCTTTCACGTTTTTTACCTCGTCCACCAATATTTTCTATTCCTTTAGAAGAAGATAATTTTAATTTATTTGGTAACAATAATCAAGAAAAAAATCAAGAATCTTTAAGTTGGTTAAGGCTACATAGATGTTATTTAATTATAAGTATGGCTTTTGGAATTTCAAATCGATTGGAGAATTTAATTGGATTTTTTGCACTTTGGATGGCTCAAAGTCAAGAAAATATTAGTTACAAAAATAATAAAATAAATGAAGTAAATTTTAAATATTTTAATAATAAAATGAAAAATTTTATTAAAGAGACTAAAATCAAAATAGTTTGATATATCTACAATTAATTCTACAATTGTAGATTTGTAATTTCCCTAATAATATTTTAATATAACTGCTATTCCGAAATTATTTATACGATTTTTTTCAATTCTACAATTGTAGATTTGTAATTTCCCTAATAATATTTTAAGATAAAATCATCTAGTATCATCCATACACTCCGAATACAATAACTTTAATTTCTATAAACCAACTTTATTTATTTAATTATTATCAATTTATTAAATGATTTAAGCTCTTTTTTTATTAATTTAATAAAAATTCATAATTTATTTTTTAGTTTACCAATAACTTATCAAATGATTTCTCAATTATTCTTGAAAAACAATTATTTATTGGCCATTCGGAAAACGAAATTTATACAGATTTAAATATTTTTCAAACCTTATTTTCTGTAGTTATTGGAATGCAAATACGAGAATTACTTATTAAATCAATTAAAAATAATGATTTTGAATTAATAAATAAATATAAAATAAAATTAGAGGTTTTGAGTTTTTCCTTCAGAAATGCCAGTCAAAAACCCAAAGAAAATGAATTAATTTGGCGAAGTATTAAAAGGTAATTTTGGATTTAAATAAAATACTAGAGAGCAGAAAACACTAAAAATTTTTATCAAATATTTTAATAATTTTACTAGACTAAGCAAGCTAGTCACTTAATATTCAAATTAATTAAATCTAAAAAAATTAGATGGATAAAATTGGCTGAAACAGAGGATTTAGACGCAGCAGCGCTTTTCTTACATACTTTACAACAACAAATCCAAAAATATTTTAAAATGTAAATATTTCATTTATGTATTTCTAAAAATAATTTTAAATTTTCTTGTTATATAATTTAAACAAATTAAAGGAATTTTCCTCCATTAAATGAATTAAACAGGCCAAATTGGTACTCACTTATTTTGAGTGGGGCTGAAGAAAAGTTTAATTTAAATGAATTAACAGAATTGAATAAAAATAATTTACAAGTATTTCCTTCAGAAAATTACAAATTTCAAGTATTTTTAAAAACTTTTAATTTAAAATTTAATTATTTTTAAATTTAAGTTAAATAATTTTGAGGATATTTTGATTATGCAGTATTTATCTAGTGAATTCCCGATAGTTAATTTGCCTACTCCACTAATTCAAATGCGTTTAGAACTTGTACCTAATGAATTTTGTAGTTGTAATCGACAATCTTTTATCTCAAAAAATTTAAACAAAAATACTCAAAATAATATAATTGAAAATTTTGAGGAAATTGGGAGGAAATTTTCTTTTAAAATAAATGAAAATAATTTAATTAAAGAAAAGGAACAAGAAAATATTTGTAAAAGAGAAGAAATTGATGAATTAGAAATATTAGCTGAGGAAATTCGTTCAGGGATTAAACGGTTAGAATTACTTGAAGAAGAAACGAATTTAATAAATGGAAAGGAAATGGGAAATTTACAAGCAATTGAGGGTATCAACGAAATAAATAAATCAGGTAAAATGGAGTGACCCATTAGTTTGGGCATCGTTTGTACAACCAAACAAATCTAGAAATCGTATCTTAAATGTTGATTTATTAGCTTAGGTATTGGGTGAAGTCCTATTAGTTCTATTAAATGCTAATCATTAAAATAATAAATAAAATAAAATTTAAGTAAAACAACAAAAGAATATTCGCCCAAAACATCAATTAAAACCAAATAAAAAATTATCAAAAATAAATAAAAACAAAAGACAGTCAGTAACTCAAAGTGATTTAGAAAAGAAACAAAAAACATATTCAGCTTTTCTTTCATCTTTACTTAAACAAAAAGGTATTGAAGGAAGTGAAGAATTAACATCAACAACAGAACCATTAAAAAGTAGTAGTGAAATAAATAATAATAATTATTATTCTACAAATAATTCTGTTTATTCTTCTGAAAGTAGAAGTTCCTTAAATTCTAATAAAGAAAGAAGAAAAAATAAAAAAATAAATTGTTCTTCAAAATTAAATGAAGAAGAAGAAAGTTCAACAAGTAATTGGGCGTCTGAAGAGGAAGAAGAAGAAAAAAATATTTTTGAAAAGGAATTAACAAAGGAGCAACTTTTACAGGAAATGAATAAAGTTGGAAAACATTTGGAATGGATATGGGCTCAAATTGGAGGAAGAATAAATGAAGAAAATGTTGATGAGGAAGATTATGATAATGAAGAGGTTGATGAAGGGGAGGATAATCAAAAGGATGAGGAAATTTTAGAAAGAAAAGAAAATAGGTTATTTGTTTTGTGTAGATATTTTAGGGTATGGAGATTATTCGAGTTTCGAACTGTAAAGCTTATAGCAATTGCAAAGCATATAGCTATTTATCTCCTAAGGCTGTGCAGTAAGCGGCGTGTTAATTAACAACAACCGATTAACATTTTGCACTAGCTGAAGGAGAGAGATAGCTAAAGCCCAGCTGCTTTACTGAGCTTTGATAATTATTTTCAAACTTGTTAATTTTTTTACTGGGAATTTTATTATGGCTTGATTAGTTGATTTAATTATTATTTCTTTAGTTATAATCAAGAATTGTTGGAAAATGAAGAACAAATTAAAGAAAATAAGGAAGGTAAAGAAGAAATATTGCAACAAGAACCAAATGAACAAAAATTCTCATCTGAAGAAGAATTTCCAAATAATAATATAGAAATAAAACAATTTAAAATGCCTGAAATAAGAATAAAAAGTAATGTAGATTTTTCAATTCCTTCGTTAATTGAAGAAGAAAAAAGTTATGAATTGAGAGAATTAGAAGAAATTGAGGAAATTGAATTAAATTGTAGGATTTTATTTTGTTATTAAATTGGGATTTTTTATTAAGTATGAGAATATAATAAGCCAAAATTAAATTTTAGAATAAAGAGAAATACTATTACTTCAGTTTCGATTCTATCATTTTCGATGAAAACTAGATTTTTTCAGTGGAATACAAAATATTGGGGATTGTTGTGCAAATAAATCCTTACATATTAAGAATTTTCCTTTAATTTTTTAAATTACTACCAAGTTCTAAATAATATATTTATTAATCAGTCCATTAATCAATAAAATAATCATAATCCACTTTCTGAAGCTACATTTTATTTTAATTAAAATTATATTTTAGCAAATAATATTTCCTTGAAAGCCGAAGAAATTAAACCAGCATCAGGTCAATTATCAAGTTCTTCAGGCTATCATCATTACCACTCTTCTCGTTCTTCTTCAGAAAATTCGCAAAGGAAAAATGATGGGTTAATTAATAAATCTTTTCAAAATTGGTCAATACCTCCAAATATTCAACCTATGGATTTTAGTAGATTAGATATTGATAGTGATGAAGAAGAGAGAAATTCTGGTGGGAAAACAATAAATAAATGGACGGATATTGAGGTGAATTTAATAGATAAATCTGGGAAAAATTTCTGTCAATTCTCAGTCCATTAATTAAAACTTTCACTTAGGTTAATATTAATTTATTCAGGTTTACCCAAGAGAGATTTTAAAAGAAAAACCACCACTTGTTACTAACGAAAAAATACAAAATAAATCGTCTAACCAACAAAAAACGCCTTTAAAAAATAAATGGAGACCACCAAGTTGGCTTAGATTATTACCGCCTTTTGATGGAACAATTAGAACAGAGAGGATTTCTTGTGGTAAAATAACTGCAGAAAGGCAACTTCTTCAATTGAATTTGGATAGAGGTAATAAAAATCGGGGAAATAAAGAAAATTTACATTTGTATTTTAATTTATAATTCAATGGTGTTCAAAATTATAGTCGAATAAGAATAAGAAAAAAATGATGTAATTTTTGAAAAAAATTCAAATTTGTTTAAGTGAGATAATGAATAATTTTGAATGATATAGTATGTAGCTGTTTGATCTTGAAAAACTAATTAAAATATTTTTCAAGGCCATCAACGAACATTTTTGGATATTGCTGCTAGAAATAGAGAATCTTTAAAAAGGCCAAAAAAGAAAGAAAAAGGGGAAGAAATAATTAAAGTTAAAACAAATAAAGAAATAAAAGAAGAACATTCTAAACAAAATTTTCCAGAACAATCCTCAATTTATGATAGTGGAATTGCTCTAGATCAAACAGCAAATACATCAAGATACAATCAAGATTTTTTGTTATATTCCGTTGAATTGTGTGAAGAAGAAATTAAATTAATGAGACAAATGGCTAAACAGACATGAAATAAATATAAATTTCTTTCTCTTTTTCTACAATTGTGACTTGAATTGTAATTGGCCAAAATTGTATAAATTTCGGAATAGCAATTATTTTATTATTGAGTAGATTACAAATATAAAATTGTAGAATAATAAAAAGATTTCAATATTTTATTGACTTATAAAAAATTGAGGCTATTGTCATATATACTTTTTAGTTTAGCAATAACTTACCGTATTATCTCTAATAGAATGCCCGGGCATTCTATTTTTCAATCACCTTCCAAAGGGGCATTCTATTGGAGGGGGGCATTCAAATGGAGGTGGGCATTGTATTTTTCGATGAGTAAATTTTAAAGTTTGAAAAATTTTTAGATTAAAATTTTATAAAAAACTGTAATTCTCATCGTGTCCTGTTGATAACATGGTAACCTAAGAGTGTTTTAGTTAAAAAACATTTTCTATTAAAAACGGAAACATCCTTAGCACCTCGCTTTTCAACCGAGTTCCCACCGGTGTCCAACCAAACAGATGTCTCATCACAGCCATAAATTCTGTTACCAAAAGTTTCTTCATACGGAGTTGTCGAACATACATTAAGAATTGGACAATTATTTCCTCATATTGGACAGGAGGTTTTTGACACGCGGGAAAATTTTAGTGGGAAATTTTTCTGTGAAATTTTTAGAAAAATCTAACAAATTTTTCCAGACAACCTAGGCTTGGCTTGAATTTATAAATAAATATTTATCTATTTCTATTACTGTTTCTAAATTAGAACCAGGCAAACTCTATTTTGAATTAGAATGGGATGTATCCGTAATGACCTCTTAAAACTCTAAATTTTTGACTTGCTGAATGTAACAAATTAGCCTACATATTCAATTGCATCAAGTTTTAATTTTAATGAATAGGAACGTCGATATTTTTTGGGTTTACTTGGATTAGGCTTATTAACAGAATCGCTTATATTAATACATAACGTCTGAATAGTCATTTCACTAAACTAGAAGATTCGAAGAAGATTTAAATATATATGTAGTAATTAATATCTTTTTATATTTAGAAAAATTTCAGTAAAAAAGGGGGGCATTCTATTAGAGGGGGGCATTCAAATGGAGGGGGGCATTGTATTTTTCGATCTTCCGCTAGAGGGGCATTCTATTAGAGGGGGGCATTCAAATGGAGAGAGGCATTCTAATAGAGATAATACGGTATCTAATATTATCTTTCAATTATTTCTGAAAAACAATTATTTTAAGATTCTGAACAAGAAACTTATACAAATTTAAATATATTTTTAATACTATTTTATTTGAATGCAAATACGAGAAAAAAACTTTATAAATAATTTTCCATATAGAATAAATAAAAAATAAATTTATTAAAATTTATATTTTTAATTCTCTTACATCAGATATTATTTATTTATTGAGAACGTACAACAACCGCAGATTGTTGTACGTCAACTTTGTTTTTTACGTGAACCTGCTGAACATTGTTTTTTTAGTTATACTTTTATTACTTAAAAGAACTTTATAAAATTATCTATAATTTTTTGTAAAATTAATATATTTTAATAATATAATAATAATATACATATTTAGATTTATGATAAATTTTTCAAAGAATTTTTGAAAATATTTTAACCTAGGAATATTTATTTTATTAGCAAAAATTAACAAAATTGTTCAAACTAACGAACAGAGGACGATTGAATTCCGACTTCCGATTTCCAAAAATTTAGGCTGATTTCCGACTTTTGAGCCATTTCCGATTTCCGGCACTTTTGTCAGTTCTGATCAACCTCTGCTAAGAAGACGTTTTTTGATTCGACGTTCCTTCAGCGTTCCTTTATTCGATATTCCATATACTTCAATACCCGATACGTAAAATATCACAACAGATTTATAGAATTACTAAAAAGTTGAGTCTGGCTAAGAATTTATTTATTGGTTATATAGAACATGAAGAGAATAAAAAAATTTTAAAATTAATTTTCAAAATATTCTCAAATTGTTAAAAATGACTATCCTGTCTTCAAGAAAAAATTAGTTTGATTATTAACGGGCACAGCAGGCTGTACTAAAATAGTATTTTGTTGAACTTTGTTATTTCGAATTATTTTATATAAATGAAGACAATCATTTCTAATTGTTTTATTTAAAGTTAAATAAATTATTGGAGGAATACCTAAATAAATTATAAAAATTTCAAATTAATTTTAAAAATATTTAAACTCGCCATGAATGTGAAACCTAAAAATAAAATAAATTTAGAATTTAAATTTATTTTTGTAAAAACAAGTAATAACTTGCCATAAAAATTCAGCTAAAATACTCATCCATTTTTGCTGTGTTGCTGTATATTGCATTATTATATAAAATACACATTGTGTTGTGTTTAATAAAGAAATTATAAAAACTTGTAAAAGTACCTTTAAAATTAAGTAAAAATGGATATTATATTATTATTATTATTGTTTTGTCTAAGTTTAACTAAAAAAGTAGACTTGCTCGTTTTAAAGTACGAGTTAAAAAGAGGATAGCTTATCCGAATTACGAAAACTAAAAAAATGTAACGGCATAGCATTAAATAATTAATAATTTTTAGTATACAATTGTACTTAACTTTTACGTCATGGCACTTTTATAATTATTTAAACCATTATTCTTTGCAAAAGAATAATTACCTATCTTCATTTTTCAAAATTATTATCTATATTCTAAATAACACGCTAAAAACTCGCCATCAAGAGATTATTTGTTTGAAAGTCTGTTTGTAAGTTTTTCATCATCATGTAAAATGAGGTTTGATTGTATTATGTGACATAAAAAGGACACAATAAAATATATAAAAATATTTCCTACCATTCTCTCCAAATGGCTAATTGAAAAATGAGTATTACCATTATTTAAATTAGTTGTTTGTTTGTATTTTTGATTATTAAAGCTATAGCAAAAATTAAATATATTGCCGGAGAAAGGACGGCTAAAATAAAATTGTGATATGTAGGTAGACTGTCGAAAATAAACTGAAACAACATTTACATAATTTATTTATCTCCAAATAACCTCTCCATAATCTTCTTTATAACCAACAAAAGGATAGAAAAACCACGCAAAATAAATCCCAGAAAAGAGAATTGGTTTAATAAAAAACATGCAATATAGGGCATAGAATGTACAAAATAATAACCAAATGTAAATACGAATTCCTTTAAAGAGAAATTCAGCAATTGTTCGGAAAAACATCTGTAAACAACGATTGAGTGCCAAAACCTATAATAAATCAAGATTAAAAATAAATTGGAGAATCTATTTTTTCATCTAGTAAAATATGCCAGATAAGTAAACTGGGTTAAAATATCTGTCCAGTATAATTGTCTAAACTTTTGAAATTTCATGTCAAACTTGGTATGGTAGAATAAAATGTTTGAAAATTATGAAACTGGTTAGAGTAATTGTAAATATGTTATTAGACTTTTAAATAAATTGGACATGACTTTTCTTGAATAAACGTAAAAAGTTATTTTTAATTTCCTCTCCTTTAATTAGTTTCGTGATTGCTTCTGACTTAAACTCTCTCTACTAATTACTTTCAAATTCTCTACTTAACCATCTTTATTAAAGAATTACATTTCTAATGTTTACAACTTTAAGAATTTCAACTTTCCAGATCAGGGCTATAAAAACCAGAAATTGGATATGGGAAATCGAACATCCTCTAAAGGATTTTGAGTAAGCTATACATATTTCCTTTGATAGAATCATTTAACATATTAATAATTTATTAATAATAGTTTCCAATAAATTAAATCCTCGCGGATCCTTTTTATATCTTCCTTTGTATCATACATATAATATAATTTCAATAAACTAACCAAATTAGCACTACTCTCAGCAACCCAAACAACTTAAATTTATAATATTCCATTAAATTTAGCCAATACTTACAATTAGCTAATGTTCCAGCTAAAAAGATGAGTGTTGGATATGAACAGAAAACAGCTCCTAGTAGAGAAAGTATTGGATGTAAAAATCCAATAATTAACAAAGCAACCAAATCAACAATGCCAATATATAAAAGAATTGTATAACAATAATTTTTCCAATGTTGTTTCCATATAGAATACAAACAAGGCAAATAAAGCAAAAAATATATTATTCCCAATATTAAATTAATTAGTGCTTCTATTGTTAAACGACGGTTTTCTATTGGAATTGAATCAATTACTAAATTAGTACAATTGTAAAGACGTTCGTATTCTTGATGTTGAAATAAAAATAATTCCATTTTATTGTCCAATTTATTTGTTAAGAATATTCAAATCTGTTAAAACTGAGTTTAGGATTTACACTAGGGATGTATAGGTCTGGGGAAAAAGTCGGGTCGGGTTTTAGATATTTTCCTTGGATCGGGTTTCGGGTCGAATAAAGTTTGGGTTTCGGGTCAGGTGAGTTAAAAAATTTAAATTCAGCCAAATTTATGAGAATATAAATTTTCTTTCTTTGTGGCTAAACTAGGTTTAAAGTTCACCATATTCTTCGTTTAACCGAAACAGAACGAGGATATTTGTGGATGTGGGATTACGAGGGATATCGGTGGAGAGTTTTGAAGGTGGATTAAGAGTGATATGGTGAATTTTTAGAATATTGACGATTAAAGCAGATTAAGAGGGTATTAGTGTTGATTACTGTTCTTAATGTTATCTCGCTGGTTTTAACTAGGTAGTTACTTCTATCTGCATATACTCCGATATCCTCTAAAATCACATATAAACATTAACCCCTCTTTATTCCCTCAAAATTACGAGATCTTTCCTTTATACATATTATATTCAATGTAAAATTTTTCTGAGAATTTTTAAGTTTTTTTAAGTTTATGTTTACAATTTTTTAGAAAATGGTTGTTAAGGTTAAAATATTTCAGTTAATAGTAATAAATAGTTCGTGATATGAAAAATACAAATAAATTTTTATTAAATGTTTAAATATTAATTTGTTAAAATGACTTGTATGTATTCTTGAAATGTTTCAAAAAAGTGCAATATTTAAAATTATGCATGAATTTGATTTTAATTTTTAATTCCAGATAGAATCGAACTTCTATTTATTAAAAATTTATAAAATAAATATATTTTAAAATTATTTTTAATAAACCAATAAAGCAAATTTTTACTTAAAATTATTTAATTTATAAAATTAATTAATTAAATTTTGAGCAAATATATATTTAAAAAATTTTTTTCTTTATTTTTGTGCAGCAATTAAAGACTTTTTTCTTTTTGATTCAATTAAAGGTGCAGACATTTTTCTTCTTTGGGCATTCTGTACTCTTTTTGGGCAAAGTATTTTTCTAAAAGCTCGTCGAAATTCCAAATTAAGAATTCCATAAAGGAAAGGATTTAAAGAACTATTTATATAACCGAGCCAAACAAATGCCTGATGGACCTAGAAATAAATTAATTTAAAAAGGACTTTTTTAATTTAAAAAACCTTTGGATGTAAATAACATCCAGAGCAAAAAGGCATTATTACATAAGTGCAAAAGAAAGGTAACCAACAAAAAGTAAAAACAAAAATAATTACAGCAATTGTTTTGGCTGCTCTTTTCTCTTTTGCAACACTTATCTAGATTTAATTAAATTATTTAATAGATTTTTTTGTTAATTAAAATATTGAAATCGAGAACCACAAATAAACTTTTTTAGTCTAATATTCTCGATATTTTCAAAGTTAACGTAAATCTTCTAATTGAAGCAAATGTGCTTCTATTTTTCAATCCTCTCGCAGAATGTGCTTATATTAGGGAGCGTGTTTCTATTGGAAGGTGTGCTTTTATTAAAAGTTTCAAAAAATATTTTCTTTCTTCTCTTTACCTTTTCTCGTTCTTTTAAATGTGTTTTTAATTCAACAGTTTCTGTTGCTTTAGATTCTGGCAATAAATTCCCCCCACCATTTTCTACTATCATTAAAGGATCTTTTTCTTTTTGATTTTCTTCTTTTAATAAATCAGCACTTTGTTTAATTCCATCTAAACTTGTTGCTGTCATTAAATTATTTGTAGGTAAAGGCAAATTAATTGATAATGAATAACGTTTTTCTAATGTTGAGGGTAATGGAAAGAAGCTAGTACCTCCATTCTTTATTAAATTCTGAAAATTAATTAAAAATTAAATTTGGATTGGGAATAATTTTGAAATAATTAGAGAGTTGATTATCGGAATATCTTAGTTAGAGAGCACAGAGTAGGTTAATCTACTCATGTCAATACATTTTGACATTTAGATAAATGTCAATTAGGTCTATTTGAGTCTCGCACTCTTTCTCTAAACAAAAAGGATTTCCTGGAATTATTTTTTTCTTAGTGTTAAAATATTTTTAGTAAGCTATTTGGTTTTGGGTAAATAATTTAAAATCTTTCTAGGGTTTCTTCAATTTTATGTTAATTTTAAATTAAAATACATTTGTAGCATTATTTTGTGCCAACAAAGCATCAATTCCGCCTCCTCCTCCTCCCACTCCGTTTCCAATATTATTTACACTTCCCCTTTTAATATTTCCATCATGTCCACCTCCAGTAGAACTATTTGTTGCCGAAGAAGTTCCTCTCAAAGAAGAAGAAGATATTCTTTCTTTAATAATTATTTCCTTCTTTCTTTTATTTTTTCTAAATATTTGTGCTCCTGTTGCACTAGCTAATGCAATAACCTAAAATTAAAATTTTATTTTTCAAATAATTTTAATTTTAAAATACTGAGGCTGCGGCAACTGGCGCTCTCTGTGATCTATTTCCTGCCTCTTCAGCCATTTTGAAAAGGGCACTCCTTCCTTTAAGAAAAATAATGGAAATTTATTTAAAAAAATTTTAATCCCAACTAGTAATTGTTTAAAATAAGGTAGCACCCCGAGCCTTCGTGGGCGGGATCGTCGGGGATCGGAGTTTGCAGGGGTGGAGCCTTCGGGGTTCGGGCCGGGGTTTTGCCTAAAAATTCGTCGGAAGTAGGGGGACGGGGTGCCACCCTAGTTTAAAAGTTTAATTGCAATTCGAGAATAAACAAAGAGAATAAATAAAACACCTTAATTTGAAATTTAAATAAATAAATTACCTCTGTTTTTCCTAATTCTTTGTCTAGCATTCAAAAATATTTTAACATAAACAACCACCATAACAGCGAGAGGAAAGAAAAAAGAACCACAAGCAGAATAAACAACAAATGCTTTTTCTGTGGTTAATTCACAATGATCTACCAAAGTTTGAGAGGTCCAATCATTCCAACCAATTAATGGAGGTACGGAAATAACTACACTCAAAACCCAAACCTTCAAAATTAATTTTGCTTTGATTATTTTGAGATTATAATTATGGCATCAAAAGTAATAAAAAAATAATTAATTATTTTTAACTTTTACATAAATCTGGACTAGATTTTTAGAAAGTTATCAAAATTTTATTTATCAAATTCTCAAATTCTCAGAAAAATTTAAAATTAACCAAAACAATAGTTCCTCCAACCAATTTTAATGATCTTTTTTGTGCATAGCCAATAGGATCGTGTATTGCTCTATATCTATCAATTGCTATTGCACACAAATTTAGAATTGAGGATGTACATAATAAAATGTCTGCTGTTGTAAATAATTGACAGATTGTGACTCCAAGAAGCCAATGACCATCTTTTTTAATTAAAATAAATAAATTAATTCAAAAATATTTAAAAGAGAAAAATATATTGAGTATTTCACACACTTTGTTTTCTAATTTGATTTTAATTATTCCCTATATTTTCTTTTAACAATTTTATGATTTTTAAATCAATTTAAATAATTAATCCAGTAATAGTTCCCAAAAAAGCTAATGAAATTTTCTCTCGCCTGTTTAAATTTTTATTTCCTAAGTTGCAAATATTTTAACCATCCGTAATCATAACTTATTTTCTTATAAGGGAAAGAAGTAACTTTGTTTTAATATTTTTTTGGTCATTTTCCAACAAAATTTTTTTGCAAAATTTTTCCCTTTTTACTTTTTCAGTTCCGTTATTATATTTTTTAATAATTTGTTGCACTTCAATTTTTCCAGAATTTTGTTAAATTTTATTTTTCTCGTTATTATTGGATTATTCAAATTATTTCCGTTCACATCATTTTATTATTATTAAAATATAAAAAAGGAAAAGTTGGCAATATTTTAGAAAATATTTTAATTAATGTATTGTTTTTCCTATGTTTTTTATAAAGAAAGTGGAAACATGGAACAACAATTAAAATAAAAAATATTTTTTATTATTAAAATAAAGAATATTTTTAAAATCAAAATTGAATTTAAAAATATTTGATAATAATTGCTTTTTTAGAATTAAATAAGATTTAATTTTCTCTCTCTAAAAAATATTACTAGCTTACCAGCCAAAAATTTAACAACATGTAAAGGCATAACAATTATTGCAACAAGCATATCAGAAGCTGCCAAGGATACAATAAAATAATTTTGAACCTTTTTTAAAGGTCTATAATTAAATACAGCCAAAATAACCAAAGTATTGCTTTAAAAGATAATCAATTTTTTAAAGAAACTCCTTCTAAAATTACCCAAGAATGGTTATTCCGATAATTAAAAAATATGTAAAAGTGCCAAGTATAAGTTCTAAGGCAGGCAAAGCTCTATTAGAATTTGTTGATATATTTAGATTTTCATTTAATTTATTCGAAATATTTATTGTTGTCCCTTCATTACTATTTAATACTTCAGCTAATGCTGAGGTAAATGGGAAGACATTAGAAGATGGAATAGAAGAAAATGAAGAGGAGGAAGATAAAGAATCTTCTGTTAAAGATGAATTTGGTTCAATTAAATTAAGTACTTGATTTTGTAAAGAAAATAGGTTCATAAAAACCATTTCTATAAAAAAAAATAATTTAATTAAAATTAATTTATTGTTAATAATTAAGCCAAAAATTAATAATATTAATTTATTATGTAAATATTTATTTATGGAAACTATAAAAATTTTTTTATCTAAACTTTAAGGTTATTTAAGTATCCCTTCTTGCAACCTAAACTTAAATATAATTATTGTATTAAAAAATAGAGGAATTCCAAGATGCATTAACTAATTAAATTTTATCTAGTAAGAAGTCTTAAGCTTAAAAAAGGAAAATTTTGGAATAATAATTTTATTAAAATTAATTAATTTAAAAAAATATATTATTATAAATTATCAATAAAATGACATCAAATTAAAATATATATTTAAATAAAAGAGATTGTTTGTTTATAAATATTTTTTCCTAAAG